TGAGGCAGAAGAAGACCACGGGCGCCAGATCGGGGAACGGGACCACCAGAGCGCTGAGGTCGCTGCCGATGCTGACATCATCCCCCTGACCCACCTCCTCGATGATGTCATCGGCGTGCGTCGAGCCGTAGTCCTCGCCCTGCCCCGGCCCGGCCGGGGAAACGCTCCCCAGCGGCACAGGACACTCCTCGCTCGTCATGGCGACCCAGCTGAGATCTGAAAGACAAGAGAGAGGACGGCGAAGGGTGAGACGTGATCCCGGGGAGAAACGGGCGCCACTCTCTGACAGACGTTACTGCAGCAGATAAACAAGAATGAGTGTGTTTATTTAATCTCGCCCTGACAGCGTAAACTATGTTTGGAAGATACACGCTCTCCCACAGACCGCTAAATAACCGCCGCCATGTCACAACACATCCTCCTCGGGTCCCAGAGGTCCATTAGTCTCCGTCTGTCTGAGAAAGAAAACGCTCTTATCCTAAACTCACTTGTCTTCATAACTGAACGCATCACTTCCTGATAACAATCACCGCCGCCAACCATCAAACCACCGCCACCGAGGAACGCCAGCCCGACTAAATCAATGTCAGAACTCATTACACTTTCATTTAGGCCCATCAGCACCGGGCCCGGCTGCTGCAGAACCGGCTCTGTGTGTGTGTGTGTGTGTGTGTGTGTGTGTGTGTGTGCAGCATTATCGGCTCTCCTTACTGGATCACCTAAGACTCTGTAGTTGGAGTCACCACATGGGTTTGACATCACTTCTCCATAAACTGACCAAACCCCCAGTTTCCACCACATCTGGAACGGCGGCCATTTTCGCTGTCTGCCATTTCCTACCGGATCCGTTTGTGAGGCGAATTTCGTGGCGAATTACAGACAGCGGGAATCGCGAGAACTCACAAGAACCCACGGATTCACGTTCAATCGTACGATAACGAGTTGTCTCTATAAAGACAGACACATAGACATATAAGCAGTAGATTGTGTCCTTCCAGAGGAGGAAATCTACTTCTAGACGTCTAGAATCAGCATCTCCTCATCCATGGTGTCATAGGGGTGAAATGACGTCTAAAAACCTTTCACTTGTTCGTCTCCGCCCGTTTGCATGGTGTGAAATACGATCCTCCTGAAACACGGAGTGTTTTATTTTGAAAAGAAGCCGGATGTTTTATTTTGTGTCTGTGCCCGACTTCCTTTCCAGCACGGGTTAATCTGTGCTGAATTTATCCGCCATGCTCCGGCGTCCAGAAAAACTAGAACTCTTGTGATCAGCTGAGGAGTCCGGCGATCCGCAGAGGAACGGAAAGAAATCGGTGTAAATTGACACGTTAACTTGAATGGTTACGATCAGCGACGATCGGAGGATACGACCTTTTAGGAGACGATCAGGATGAAGGTGGAGATTGACACGTTAACTTTAAAGGTTAGCCGCTGATCCTCTCTTAGCTCTCCCCCTTTTTAACGCCACAATCACACCATACAGGTGCAGAAATATAAAGTACTGAGCACAAATAACATCAACTGAGAAACAGGTGAGATAGAAGAACTGTGTCTTTTGTCTCAGTGGATCCGACCAGAACTTTACTGCAGAGAAGGAGGGGGGGATCAGGGCCCTCAGTGCCGTGTGTGCGCTGACACACACACACACACACTCACACACACTAACACACACACACTCACACATTAACACCCTTAATTGGAGAAGCGGATATACAGTCACCCATTCAGCTGCACTTTGAGCTGAAGGCTGAGATGAGACACGGAGAGAGGAGCTTTCCCCCTCCCACACACACTCACTGCTTCAGAAACACACACACACACACACACACACACACGCACACACACAAACATACTGCAGACCTATGAAGGTTTAGTAGAAACATGTTGGATTGAATCTTTAAGTTCCAACTCAACAAATCTCATAGGTCACATAGAAACTCCACGCCATCGCCATGGAGACGGTAATTTAAGCAGCTGCAGCAGAGGAAAGACGCCAAGAGTTTTCTATAAGACGGTCTAGATGAACAGATGAACTTGACCATGAGTGCAGGTCTGATCTAGTTACAGCAGATCTATGTTTGTACCTGCACAGGTATGACCGCCCCCTCAGGTGTGCCGCACAAACAACTCTACATGAACGAGACGGGTCATGAGAAGTTCAGTCACCCGTCCTCCCCGCAGACCCTCTCCATCTTCTCTCAGTCTTCTCTCTGTCTGCTGGTGATGGCGAGCGATCACAACGCCACACGCCCGTGTTAGCGAGGCCGTCAGCGCGTTAAATAAGAGAGAGTAACATATTAATGATCCGCAGAGCTGAAGCAGAGGGCTGGCTCTCCGACAGAACCTTTAAATAACCTGATGAATGAGATCCGGACCCGCTCAGAACCTTCAGTAAAGGCGGGTACGAGGACTTTTAGTGTCTTTGTTGTCTCAGAGTCTGTCGGCATAAATACTCTCAGAGACTTTTATCGCTCCTTTTAGAGCCTCTGATGAACTTTACAGGACAGTGAGGATAAACTGCTCCCGCTCGCACAGATCAGTCCTGATTTCCACCTTTAGCTGTTAGTGAGACGTTAAATCTACACGCGTCAAAAACCCGGACAGACAGGAGGAGAGTAGCTAAACTAAATCAGAGGACCTGTCTGCTCCAATCATGTGAGCCGCGGCCGACACCTGGGACGGTCCTCTAAAGAGAGTAAACAGGCAGGAGAGTGGAGTCCATCAGCACTATCAGTGACAGGCTGTCAGCGGGCGGCGGCCTCGGCGTTCACTCACCCTAAAGCGTTCTGACAGGCGGCATCACGGCGATGCAGACCTCAGCCTGCCGAGAATCTGGACAACAAATCAGGAGGTAATTATTTCCAGACAAAACACCTGCACTGAGAAATACAGGAGGTTAACGCCAAACGCTTTCAGGGGGATCCTCAAATCCACCGGATTTAACTTCACAACGTTCTGAAGAAATCCTCCAAATCCACGAATTAACAAAACTGATCAGCATGGGAGGAAAGATGGAGGAGATGGAGACCACCTCCACGCCACGCTGAGCTGATATCCTGATAAATATATATTTGTGTATATTTATATATGTGTATATATATATATATATTTATATATATATATATATATATTTATATATATGTATAAATATATATATACACACACACATATATATGCACATTTGTTTATATATATGTGTATGTATATATATATATATATATATACATATATATATATGTATATATATATCCATACATATATACTTATACACATATATACACACACACACATACATATATATATATATATATATATATATATATATATATATATGTATATATACACACACACACATACATATAAATACATTCTCCATCTCTGCTTGTGTTGGACTCTGTTGTGTGTCGCTTTAAAACCAAACTGAAACTGCTGAGTAATAATAATATAAATTATAATTATGATATATACAATAATAATGTGAATAATAATATAAATAATAACAATATAAAAACTTTAATATAAATAATAATAATATGAATAATAATATAAATAAATATAAAAAATAACAATATAAATAATAAAATATAAATTATAATAATAAAAGTAATATTATGACAGAGTTTGATTTCCCTCTCAGACTTTAGCAAAGACAGAGACAAAAAGATGTCAGCCTGATCTCTAAGTGTGTTTTTCAGCTTTTCATTTACAGAACTTAGAAACAGCTGACATCATGCTCTGCCGTCCAATCAGGACAAGGCTGAAAGACACGCCCACCTGCCTGCTGTGTCAGATTAGGGAACTGTCTCGGCTTCAGAAAACAGCAGGAAGTTTGGACGTTTTCTGGACGTCATGGTCGCTGTTGGTGCTCGCCACTTTACTGAGGACCTTCAGGAAGTCCTGGGTTTATCTGCTAAACTCAACAGAGCTTTAAAACCAGGACACAGAATCAGCACTGACACACACACACACACACATACACACACACACACACACACACACACACACACACACACACACACACACACACACACACACACACACACACACAGTCATTAACCTGCAGCCACAGTCAGACACCTGAAGGTATTTTAGCAGGATGGTGACATATGGGTGTCAGACCCATCTCCTGCTTCCTGCAGAGTTCTGCTGACTCGGCAGAAAAAAAAACAGATTGGCCCAGACGTTTGTTCTGGATCAGGGACCAGCCGAGTGGGCAGATTTAGCCTGAGCCGCCATATGGTCCAGAAACAAGGAGACCATCTAATGAGACGGTATCACAGGAGGTCACATGGGGTCATAACGACTGATACACCTGTTCTGGAATAAAGGTAAAGTGGGGACATCTACAGAAACAGAGTTTGAACGTAGATCAGTCATCCTCGAACAGCATCTATTTAACATAACTCTGTGATGATGGAGGTTAAACAGGAAGTTTAGTCAGTAACCTGGTGAGAGGTTACACAAACTTCCTGATGTGAGGAGTTGATGAAAGTAGAGCTCCTCCTCCTCCTCCTCCTCCTCCTCCTCCTCCTCTCTCCCTCTCTCCGTCTATGATGAAGACAATAGCGAGCTCAGTGTCAGACATCATCTCTGGAGCGTGGCGGTCTGATCGCTTACAGCAGCGTGTTGAGTTTGTCAGCATGACGGCTCTGTTGTCCTTCACACTGATCCATGACTCAGCGCCATGAGGGATCAGGATAAACCTCCTGTATGAGGGCCCCGCATAAACAGTCCAGGTCTTGATCAGGTCCCAGTTCTGTAGACCCAGTTCTGTAGCTCCTCCTCCTCTGGTTCTCTCTCAGTTCTCCTCCTCTGACTCTCTCAAACGGGTCTTCTCGGTTCTCTATGTCTCTCTATATCTATGTCTTTGGATTCTAGGCTGTACGTTCACATGTTGGTCTTCTGCTGGGACCCTCAGACTGGACTCAGGATGATGAGTGAGTCTGTTTGTGTGTGTGTTTGTGTGTGTGCACGTGTGTGTGTCAGTTAGAGTGATG